AAAGGGCAAGTCTAAACTGTAATTATACAACCAACGCTGGCCTGTGCCAGCAGAAGTGGGCTCGCGGGGCTCAGGCTCGCAGCGCTGTTTAATTGTACTGTAGATGTCCCAGCTCCACCTGCAATCCAAGGTCTGGGACCCTCCCACCACAAAGAGTCCTAAAGCCTGAGCTCCAGCCCAAGCCCAAATATCTACTGCGCAATAAATGACCCCTTAGCCAAAGCCCTGCAAACCTGAGTCGCTGTCATGGGCTAGCCCCAGGTTTTTAACTGTTGTGTAGACATGCCCCAAGAAATAAGGGAAAACCCTTCCTGAAGATGGAATAGAGCTGAGTGAATGGAGGTTAGAGAGAATGTTACTGCAGGAGAGCACAGCAAAATAGTTATTGTTAAACTGGCCTTGATAGCAGAGATCCCCCACTTCCCCACTGTTTACTCACCCTGACCTTCTCTATTATAGAAAGTGAGGATCAGTAAAAACCATGAGTCTATCTGCACTTCAAACAGTCTAATACAGTGTACTTACCTGTCCTAAACTATGCCCATAAGGCACAGATGCTAATTAGAAGGAACAGATCCATGACTGAGATAACAGAAATGAGATTCCTGCAGTAGCTTAGTGGTTTTGATGGATTCACAGAACTGAGGCACATAAGCCAAATAAATGTTCAAATACATAAATAGAAATATGCATGGAAAAAGAGAAAGGCTGCCACAACGAGCTACACACATTGTTGTTCCCACGGGTGCTGGAAAACTGCAGGAGGGGAAATTGGTTACAATTATCAGGAATTCTTCCAGTACCTCACATACCATAAAACTGATACATTTATAAAAATAGGAAATGCCAACTATGGGCTTAAGCTGACAGGCAGCTCAGCAATGAGAAAGAGGGAAAGAAGACGTGCATGTGCTGTGTCTCTGGAGATGCAAGGCCAGTCTCCTTAGCCTGATCTGATCTACAGAAAGCAGTGTTACTGCAATACTTACAAGGAGTGCAGCGTGTCTGTGTGAGACAGTACGGCACCCAAAGTGCAACTTCCAACATTGGAACCACAGTGCAATTCTATAACACAGATTACGCTTCCATGAAATCCCTTGCATAGGGATCAGTGTTTGTAGCAGCTAAACAAAGAGGACCTATGTGCTCATCCTCCAGGCGGGAGGCAAGGTGCTACGCCAAGTACAGGTAGTGTAATGGGAGGAGCCTGGTTTGGAGAAAGCGTGGTCAAAGCACTAATACTAGATAAAGGGGAAGAGTAGGTCCAAGACAGATAATATTTGTTTGTTTTTTTAGGGCACTGGCTCCAATTAACATTTTTTCTTAAATGTAAGTGCTAAAATTATTACGAATGGCAATGATCCAAAAATCTTTCAGGGTAACACCTCATTTAAGCAAGCACCCAACTAGAAAGAAAGAGTTCCTACATTTGCTGCTGCTGCTTAGTTAGAGATGGTTTTCTGTAAGCGTGAGTGACCAAAAGTAAGAGTACATCAGTTTACATTGCTAAGATCATCATCATAACAATAAAGGAGAGAAACAACTTAAAAAAAAAAAAAAAAAGCTTAGTTTCTGAATAAGCCACTATCAATTACAAGACCACCTAAAAAGCCCTGGGATTAGTGATTTTATTCCCACACCCTCTACATGCTGCTGTTATTAGCTCACCCTTAGTTCCAAGTCTGGTCTTTTAAAAATATACTGTGTGGTAGCTGTCATTCTACCAGACTGTACTAATTACAATATCTAATAACCACAAGATTTTTCAAAAATCATCTGTAATATTCAACGAATGATTCATTCAACGTCATTTCAAAACATAGTAAGTATGATATAAAGTCCTAGATGCCTAACTAGAAGGCCAATGCTGCAAGTAGTCAGCGCCCTCTCTTCAGCTGATATCAGTAAGAAGTGAGGTTGCAGAGCACCCTACAGAATCAAGCCCTAGGAAAGTGAAGTTATAAAGTGGAGGTTAACAGAGCATACATCAGTCTTACTGTCTATCATAAAGCAGTATTTGACTGTACCTTCAATGGTTTTAGAGAAAAGTTTAGGGAATGTCATACCATCTTTTAATTTACATATTATAAAAACGATTCTTAATTAATGGGATTTCATATCTCCCTGAACAGAATGCTGTACACCCAAACCACCATTGACACCTGCTTATTGGAGAATAAATATGTGCTAGTTTCTTTTTCTTCCAGAAAGATTCAAAAATTATTACTTTGTATACTAAACCATATAGTATGAGATTTCACAATATACTGTATTTGTCCTTCCAAATAGTTATATAATAGAAGTAGTTTCCACCTTGACTGTGGTTCTTAAATCTCTGGAGTACTAGGTTCCAGTTCTGGGTCAGGTTACAAGCAAAAACGTGTTTGATGTTTTCATTCTGGCTGTTAGGGGATTTTGTTCAGCTCTCACACAAAAATAAATAAAATAAAATAAATTGCCATTACTCTGTGTGACAGTCTCTGCTCAACAGCAGCCCAGGACTGGAAAACCACTGCTCTGGCCAGTTAGGAGTGTAGTTCATTGGCAGAGCTGTATAGGGAAGCCAACGCCACTTAATCTCTCAAAGAATAGGCACCTAAATTCACACACATACATACGCTCACACACATAAAGACAACTTTCACAGAATATATAAAATCCTCAACAAGGCTAGGTCATACTTAAAATAAAATGACATCAGCATCTCTTATTGCTGAAACTAAAAGCCATTGTATTATTTTGTTACAGTTGCCAACAACAACAGAATACAAGCAAAATGTTGTTCATTAGCTTCATACTTTCTAAAATCTGTTCAAAATAAAATATAGACATTAGGACAGTTACCAGGAGATATTTTTTCCTAACACTGTAATAACTTTGTGTCTAGCAATGATAATTTTTGGTTGCTGCTTAAAGATATTTGCTGAATGCTGATGAAAAGAATAGCTATGAAAATCTGCTATACAGCAGTGATTAAAGGAAACACATTTGAAACAAAGTGGGGGTCTTATAACCAGGTTCTACAAGGCAAAGAAAGCATCCTCTTCCTTCTTTTAGTATCAGCTATCCCAATTACTCTGAGAAACGCTGTTAGTTGTCCTCATGCTGTAAAGTCAAAGTGCAGGCATCCAATTTCCAGTAGCCTGAGGCCCTGTATACTCAAACCACACCCCAAGGCAAGGTACCATGGTGTAATGTTACAAGCATGGTGTAATGTTGCCACATACTTTAGCTAAGTTAAAGTATGCAATCCTTCTTGCCTAAGGTACAGATTTAAATGCTTGGGTTGAAATTGTTGCTATACCTCAAAATAAAGCAAACAGGAAACCACCCTTCAAAAAGAAGATACTGACTCTTTTCACTGGGCCAGGTCCATATTGGGAAGTATGGTTGGCACCTGACCAAAAGGATCAATGGGGAAAGAAGATACTTTCATATCTGGGGAGGGGGGCTTTGTTTGTGCATTCTCTTGGGAAGCAGAGAAGCACCAAGTCAGAAAACTCCTTCTCCTATAAACCATCCTAAAGTGAGTCTTTATATTGCAAAAAGAGTAAGTAAATAAGGCAGAGCGCATTAGATTACCTTTTGCTTTTAACTTGTGAATTTTCCCTGTGCTAAGAGGGAGGTTTATCCCTGTTTTTTGTAACTTTAAAGTTTTGCCTAGAGGGCAATCCTCTGTGTTTTGAATCTGATTACCCTGTAAAGTTACGTTCCATCCTGATTTTACAGAGGTGCTTCTTTTACTTTTATTTTCTTTATAATAAAGTTCTGTTTTTTTAAGAATCTGGTTTACCTATTTGGTTGGTATATTATTCTCAAGGAAAAGGGTGTAGGTCTTGGGGGGATATTTTGGGGGAATAGGAATTCCAAGTGGTCCTTTCCCTGATTCTTTGTCTAAATCACTTGGGGGTGGCAGCGTACCGTCCAAGGACAAAGGATTTGTGCCTTGGGGAGGTTTTTAACCTAAGCTGGTAGAAATAAGTTTAGGGAGCTTTCCTGAAGGTCCCCACATCTGTACCTTAGAGTTCAGAGTGGGGAGGGAACCCTGACATCAGTAGTTCTCAACAGGTGTCTGGGGGGTCCACGAGCAGGTTTTGGGGGCCGCCAAGCACCGCCAGCATTAGACTTGTTGGGGCCCAGGATAGAAAGCTGAAGCCCCACTGTATAGAGCTGAAGCCCTGAATCCAAACCCGCCACCTGGGGCTGAAGCTGAAGCCTGAGCAACTTAGCTTTGCAGGGCCCCTGTGGTGTGGAGCCCAGGCAACTATTTGGCTTGCTACCCCCTAATGCCAGCTCTGGCTTCTATATAAACCAGTTATTGTGGCACGGGAAGGGGGGGACAGGCGTGGAGTTTTTATAGAAAAGGGTTGAGAACCCTTGTACTAGATGGCCTAAGACTCCTGCTTATGTTAATTCCACCCACTCCTGCTCCTGATGCCACCCACGTTGTCTAGCTTTCCTGTATCCAGCCAGGTGCCTGTCTGATAAGAAACAGGAAGTGCCACTGAGCCCCACCAAAATCTCAGCAATCACAATATGTTACAAATGGCCACTGAGTCACCAGCTTGCTCTGTTCCACAGAGGCACCCCTGACTCCCTGATCCTCAGGCCAGGGGCGGGCAGATCAGAGGCAAGCTATTCCTTCCACCGCTGAACAAATGAAAGACGCTGGAGAAAGACACAAATTCTTTGCAGATCTGCAAGAAAGGGGACAGATCTAGATTCACACACAATGAAGCTTCTTACCAGCAACAATGCTGCATTCAGTAAGTTGCCCTCCCAGGTCGGAAGGGTGAAAAAACCCGTCACAATTAAAGGGCAACAGCGATTTGCTCAATTACCATCTATGGCAATGCTCCGTACGGATCTCTGCGAGGGACGTGTGACTCACTGCCTAGTAACATATCTTGTCACCATAAGTAATTCCCTTTACTCTGACTCGCCTTCCCTCGCTCCCTCCCCAAAGCCACAGACCTTGCAGATAACGGGGACCAACTTACTGAGGTGTAGTTTGTTTTCTGGCTCTGGTTTCGTACCTCCTGTTCCTGAAACTGTAACCCTGCCAGGTGTCTCTCCAAAGCCTCCCAGTCCATAGTCGGGAGCGGGGGCTCCTGCTCTTTCAGCCACGTGCCCCCCGCGGAGCTGTCCAAGGGGTGCCCGGGGGCGACCCCCCCTCCACCGCGGAGCCTCCCCACAGCCGGCTGGGCTTTCTGGAGATGGGCTTTGCGCCCGCCCGCCCCGCGGTGCCCCGTCCTGCGGCCGGGGGGCACCACGTTGCCGTTCTGCCGGAGGTCCTGGGGCGGGAGCGGGCGGTGGGGCGGGGGGTTGCCGTTGGGGGCGGGGGGCGGCATGGTGGGGTTGGCGCCGCTGGTGCTTCTCACATCCTCCAGCTCCTCCGCCAAACTCCTTCGCTTGGCAGCCGTGGCATCGCAGCCGGCGGTGCAGAGCCGGTCCTCCTCCCACGCGGCAGTGCCCTTCCTTCCGTACCCCAGGTAACCCTCCTCCTCCTCCGAGTCCTCCAGGGCCGCCGAGTCCAGGCTGCTGGGGGAGGGGGAGGATTTGCACTCCGAGCAAGGGGTGACTTTGCTGGAGCCGGACTCGGAGCTGGAGCGGCTGCTGCACGCGTCGCTTCCTAAATCCATCCCATCCTCGCGGTAATCCTGAGGGGGAGAGAAGGAAACACGCAGCGGATTAGAGAGCAGGAACCAGCCGCCTCCCGTCTGGCCGCCGCCCGCGGGAAGCGCATCGCCTGCGGGCACAGAAAGCCCGGCCACGGATGTGCCCCCCCAGCGAGCGCCGCGTCCCGATTTGCACCGGGGGCGGGGGGCTGCTCTGGGGGCTCTCGCCTCGCCCCGCCCCCCCCTCCCCGGGCCGGGGGCTTCCCCGACTCTCCCAAAGTTTCCTGCCACCTCCCCCGCGCTCCGGCCAGGGGAAGCATCTGCGCCCGCTTTGGGGGAGCGGATCTCCGGACCCGGCGCGCTCACCCCCAGGCAGAGGAGGGGCAGACGCCTTCGCTAGGGCTCCATGGTGTGGTCAGGAGGCGGCTGGCCCCATAGCGCGGCGGCTGCAACTTCCCGGCTGCCGCGTCCAGCTGCTGAGCCGGGGGCCCGCCGGCAGCGCAGCGCAGCGCAGCCAAACGGGGGGTGCGGGAGGGAGCTCGGCCGGCAGCCGTGGCATGAAGTCCCGTCCCCACGCTGCCGGCGTAAGAAGCAACGGGGAGGCTGGTGCTCACACCGCCCCCTGCGGTACAGCTGGGCAAGACGCAGAGCTGCAGCTCATGCGGGGACTGGGGAGGGGGAGCCCCTGTGGAATGGCTGTTTCTCTTTTTACTACCCCTTCCCAGGCAGAGCCCGTGAGGGCTGCACCCTCTCCCCTCTAACGCTGTGCCCACGAGAGCCTGGCCCGCCAACAATAAGCTGCACTCAGGTAAGGCACGGTCACAAATTCCTTTCTTGTCTTTTGTGTGTGTGTGTGCAAGAAGAAACACATTGTGATCCTATGAACTTTGGAGCAGCTTCTGATAGATAGACTGCGAGCGGGCAGGAATCCAACCACCCCTTCAACTCTCATTCATTTGCTTTCTTTTTCGGGCCCTCCAGCATGCACAGTTTGAACTGCCTGTAGCCATGAAATTAAGTCTATTATTACAAAAGCCACACAAAGAGTTTGCAGCAAATGAGGACTAAGGCTATATAATACCAGTCTCTACCTGTACCAACCTGTGCAAGTAGCTCAGCACACTTTGCAATCACACCTCTGTCTCAAATGTACAAGGTTTCTTTGAATAATTTTAAGGAATGTTTTGAAGCAATTAATGCCTGACTTACATTATTACACGCTGCTATGTAACACAGAAGCTGTACCTTAGTGCACCCACCTAAGCAATGTCATATTATTATTATTTTCAACTCTCTTGGCTTTTTAAGGAAGACCAAGTAGAGAGAGCCTGGTTCAGCATGGACACTGGATGTGGAATCAGACCTGGGTTCTAGGCCCAGCTCAGCCAGAGGTTCACTACCCAGTCTGCTTCCCCAGATGTGACTCAGTTTCACTACTTACCCTCTTCTGTACTTTGAGTTCTGTGGGTGAAGAGTGCTCAAGAACACAATAAGTGTAGCACAAATATAGTAACAGTTTAGTAGTTGATACCTTCTCCCAGAGAACTATGTTCTGCTCAGGGGGACAGTAAGGTTCCTGTTCACTGTACAAGGCATATCCATATTATAAAATGTCTCTCCTAGTGTAAAAATAAAGGCTAAAAATGTCAAAAGTGCTTAAGTCACTTAGCAGCCTAAATCCTATATACAAAATCACCTAAAAACACTCAGGTGCCAGTCCCATTGAAATTCAAAATAAAATAGCTTATATTGTGAAGATTCTTTATTTTGATTCATACAAATCAACTAAAACACAAACTCACCTCCTCTCCTGGGCTCTAGGCACCTTGCCAATATTTTGTGGAAAAGACAATAGCACAAGAATAAGTCCAGCAGATAACTCAGCCCCCATACTACTAATACTCCTGAAACAAAGTATTTATTTCAAACTCTTCCCAGAAAGATATCCAATGCAGGCAACTCAACTGTTCCTCAAAAGCCTGAATTAATAGATGGGCTTAGCAGTATGTCCCAAAATGCCCAGACTCAAACTACTTACAAATCAAGGGAGCTACAGCTAGGATACCTCTGCTGATCTCAGTTGCACCTGAATCTCAAAAGATGTAGTAACTCGGGTAGTCAAGTTACAAACACCTTAAAATCATAGGTCAAATCCAACACCTTAAACTCCACCAGAAACCAGTTGCTGACAGGTACAGAATCTGGTATGATATGTTTGTGACAGTTGTGGAACTGCTGTTATAATCTAAGAATACTGAGTGTGATAATTTTATGAACATTGTATGTAACCTCGTCAGTGAGGGGAAGTTACTGTAACTTTAGCAGGTTATTAGAATTTCCAGTGTGACTGTACTGATGTAACTTACATTGAGGATAGCGGAATGTTTATTATATGCCTGTAATGGGGTCAGTGCATGAAAGCAATGCAGTGGGTTCCCAAATAAGAACATCCAGACCACAGAGCAAGCTGTTAGGAGACAAGATCCTTAAAGATGTCTCGGACAAGTTGCAAGCCTTGTTTTGCCAAAACTGAGCTCCTGGATATCATAAGCACACCAAACAGGTAAAAAGTGCTTCTCAGAAGAAGGCAGTGGGGAGGAGGCTTTCCAGAAGCTGTCCAGGGTGATAGGTTGATGGAGGGAGAGACGAAGGCCTGGGCTACACTGGGGGGGGGGGGGGGGGGGGCGAGTCGACCGTGGCAGCTCCCCTGTCAACTCCGCTTACTCCTGCCGAGGTGGAGTACAGGCGTTGATTCGGGGATCGATTTATTGCGTCTAGATGATAAATTTATCATCGCGTCTAGATGAGACGCAATAAATCGATCCCCAATAGATCGATCACTACCCTCTGATCTGGCGGGTAGTGAAGACGTACCCTTTGAGGAGAAAGTCTGAAGGAGTTAGGCCTTCCCAGATCCAGCAAATGGTAAGACTTAGGGAAAAGGAGACATGTGGATAGTCTGGTTTATTATTTTGAACGTGTTTTCTCTCAAGTATTTTTGTCCTAATAAATTTAATAAAGCCTTTGTTTTAAGAATGCTGTTTGGTCACTGGTCATTGCTCCCAGAGGGAACAGAATTGCTCCTGCTGAAGTAATCACGGTTGATCACAGAGGCCTGCAGGCTGGGCATGATCAGATTTGGAGAATCATGTAATTCCACTCTGAGCCAGGTGACAGCTTGAGGGGGAAGGAAGCTGGGGGGGCACAAGGTGGGGGCAGGGAGCTGTGGGGGCGCTGGGGCTGTGGGGGGGGGGAGGAAGGCCGGGGCTGGGGAAAGGGAGCTGGGGGGGCGCTGGGGCTGTGGGGGGGGAGGAAGGCCGGGGCTGGGGGGGTGCTGGGGCTGTGGTGGGGGGAGCTGAGGGGGCGCTAGGGCTGTGGGGGGAAGGAAGGTGGGGGGAGGGGGAAGGGAGCTGGGGGGCGCTGGGGCTGTGGGGGGGCGGAGAAAGGCGGGGGCAGGGAGCTGGGGGGGTGCTAACACCAGGTGGGATCAGAGGTATGGAAAGCCCACTAACCATGACAGTGTTCCTGAAGAGATGCCTCATTCAAAAAATGGGCTGCTGATCCTCCACTACCTTTAGCCTATAAGTAGATCTTGCATGCAACATAGACATGGGTCCTGGTAGCAAGGTCTGCCTTAAAAAGAAATGACTACAACCTCTGACAAGATGCAAAATGAAAACACCTGTATTACTCATTGCTGCTATGTGACCATCTAACAGAAGCAGAGGATCTAACATTAAGCTGTGAACACTGGTGACAAATGGGGCTGATATCTTCTCTATACAATCCATCATCACTCTAATCTAATCCAGTTTTAATCAACTGCTCCAATCTCAAACAAACGCTGGGGAAGATGCTGCACCAGCTGGTGAAATAATAGAAAAAAGTTAGGTGTTGTCAGCATACTGAAAGAAAAGGAGTACTTGTGGCACCTTAGAGACTATCAAATTTATTTGAGCATAAGCTTTTGTGAGCTATAACTCACTTCATCGGATGCATTCAGTGGAAAATACAGTGGGGAGATTTATATCCATAGAGAACATGAAACAATGGGTGTTACCATACACACTTTAACCAGAGTGATCACTTAAGGTGAGCTATTACCAGCAGGAGAGCCGGGGGAGGCGGGGATGGTCCAGTTTGACCAGTGTACATTGGACAGTCTCTACGTAAAAGAATAAATGGACACAAATCAGACGTCAAGAAATATAACATTCAAAAACCACTCGGAGAACTCTTCAATCTCTCTGGTCACTCGATTACAGACCTAAAAGTGGCAATACTTCAACAAAAAAATTTCAAAAACAGACTCCAAGGAGAGACTGCTGAATTGGAATTAATTTGCAAACTGGATACAATTAACTTAGGCTTGAATAGAGACTGGGAGTGGATGGGTCATTACACAAAGTAAAACTATTTCCCCATGTTTATCCCTCCTCTCCCCCCCCCCGCCACTGTTCCTCATGTTCTTGTCAACTGCTGGAAATGGCCCACCTTGATTATCACTACAAAAGGTCACCCCCCCCTCCCCCCCGCTCTCCTGCTAGTAATAGCTCACCTTAAGTAATCACTCTGGTGACAGTGTGTATGGTCACACCCATTGTTTACTGTTCTCTATGGATATAAATCTCCCCACTGTATTTTCCACTGAATGCATCCGATGAAGTGAGCTGTAGCTTACGAAAGCTTACGCTCAAATAAATTTGTTAGTCTCTAAGGTGCCACAATTACTCCTTTTCTTTTTTGCGAATACAGACTAACACGGCTGCTACTCTGAAATCAGCATACTGAAGGCATTTCAGCTCATGTCTCCTCATTAACCATCCTAATGGCCCCATACATACATTGAATAAAAGATAATAAAATATACTCTGCAGAAACCCTACATGAGTCTGCTTTTGCAGCAGAAAGCAATATCCAATCCCAGATGGATCTCTCCAAAAGAAAAGAGCAAAGATGCTCCATCTATTTATAATCTGATCTGTCCATGAGTCAGTAATAAAGCATAATTAACTGTGTCAAAGGCAGATGACAGATTTATA